GAAAACATCAAACCTCATACTGCATTTTAAACTGTAAAATAGGCCAAATAACAGTTAACCGATAAACACACTAGACTCGGTCTCCATTAGTGACCTTAAGCAATTTCACACATTCGTTGATTCAAGAAATACCGTTTTATCATTGTTGAACTTTAATACCGTGATAGGAAATAGGGTGAGGGGTCCTTACTCGTTTCGGGGTCCGAACACGGCTTCACAGTGCGCTTACAGGCTATCCCTAATTTTCCCTGAATTTTCTCCGGGGAACTGAAACGCACTACTGGTACCTGCACGTGTTCCAAAAAATCGCAAATTAGGCCCAGGACCCCTTTTTGGCCAATATCGCAATTCCGGCACGGCGGCTCCGCCGTGCTCTGGCGACGGCGATTTGCCTCGGTTTGGCAGTTTTCGGCCGTTTCCGGTCAAATTCGGCCACACTTGCATCAGTCCTTGCGATAAAACAACCCTAGGGCCCTCGGGGGGCCAAAAAATTACGAAAAACTGAAGCTTACCGGCGACGGTGCTCTCGGGTGCGGCGACTCTCCGGTGAAGTTCGTGTTTTGGTGATTCGGCTCTGATCAGTCTGTAGAGAAAAGAATGGTGATCACGGTGATATAAAAATTGCATCAAACGGAGGCCGGGAAGGGCCTCATCGGAGGCAAAAATCGAGAAGGGGCGCGGCGGTGCCGCTGGGTTTTGGCTGTGTTTTTCGGCCGTTTGGCCGGGATTTTGGCTCCGATTTGGCCACAGGGGAAATCAACGTGGAAAAACGAGTCGGGGGTATGAAATTTACCTCGATCGGCGGTCGGAAATATCCCCGGTGCGGCAGCGGGCGGCGGCGGCCGGCGTCTCCGACGTCTTCTCCGGCGAGGGCAGGCGGCTAGGGTTTTTGTGGTCAGATGTGGGGGTTCTATTTATACCCTTTTGCCTTTTGATATCAGCCGTCTATTTTGTTTTAATCTGGGCTGTCCGTTTTTTATTGAATCTGGGCCGTCCGTGTGATTGCATCTGGGCCATCCGTACGCACGCTTGATCTGGACCGTCCGATCGCGCGTACGTGGATCGCCAACGTGGCCCGTCCCCGGTCGACGTGGTTTTGCCACGTGGCAGGTCCTGGTTGGCTGGGACTGCTGACTGGGTCTGCTGACGTGGCTGCTGACGTGGCGTTTTTTAAACTCTAATTAAAATAATTAATAATAATAATAATTTTTTTTTTTAAATTTCCGGGCGTTACAAGTATCATCTACAATTGTAACTCGACCTATCATCCTAAAAAAGATTGGTAGAAAGACTAATTTAATTGATTTAAATCCTATTTAATGTGGGTGAGTTTCAAAAATGAGTCTGGCGTATGCGTTAAGTGGCAAAAGTAATAGTCTAATATTAGTATGACACTAATTATAATTCTAGTTTACAAATGAAATATTTTTTTATCTTGTTAAAGGATTTTTTAGGGAGAAAAGAACGTGTAATACCCGAGTCCAGAATTTGGTCCGAAAATCAATTTTTA